TCCAGCGCAGCGGATTCAGTGGACATTTTGTGCCGGCGCTGACCAAAGTATTCCAACGGGGTGCTTGGACTCAACTAGTCATTGCACCCATCAGATACCGTGCAGACCAACTCCCATCCCTGCTGACTTTGGTTATCACCAACGGAAGACACTGTTGGTCAAGTGTCAATTAAGGTTTCACTGGGACATAGTGATCACTGTCTGTTGACCTTTGATTTCATCTGCTACTGGTTCGGGAACCTCGAACGTGGATTCGAAGCTTCCACCGTGCAGACTGTCGGAAATGCTGATCTTCCTTGACCAGCTGGGATTAGCTTCAGCGGAGGAGATATACAGGACTATAGTCCAGAAAATTCACAAGGCTGACGTGATGTTCGTTCCAAAGGAGCCAGTGCGTGGTCGAACGGACCAAAACTACCTAAAATGATTCGGGATCTTCTTGAAAAGAGGTCCCAATTGTCCTTCGTAAGGATAACTACAGGAAACACAGAAGATGAGCTGGCATTTCGTCAAACGCGGACTCACTGTAAATCAGAAATCCGCCAATGGAACGTACAAAAACAGTCTACGATACCAGACCTCACCCGGAGAAAACGGTTTAAGTACACGAGACGCCGCCGAAGAAATAAGCTAACTGCCTTCTTCTTGAGGGACAGAAAAATGGAACCTGTGAGTGACTAAATAGTGGTGCCTGAAGTCTACATAGGACACTATACATACCTGCATTCCGTCCCAATGACCCCGTTACATCCTGTTCGGAGGCAAAGTGTAACTGCAAACGGCCTCTAACCGACTTGTTCTTCACGGCGAAGGATGTTCGTGAACTATTGCACAAGACAAACACTTTCAGCGCTTTAGGATCATACAAGGTTCAAGGGGCAAGATGGCTCAGTGGTTGGAGCGCGAATTCACCGACCGGAAGGTCCCTGGTTCGAAGCCGACCTCTCCATCTCGATTTGCCTGTTTAGGCTTAGGTAACCTGGCGGCCCTCGGTTGGTATGGAAGCTAGGCACCGAAAGGGTGTTACAGCTGAACGATTATTATTATTAGTGGTAGGTCCATCCAGGGATCCCGAAGGAAACGTCACTCACATCGGCAAAGCATTTCTACCTGGTGTTTCGTTGGTCGTTCGACGAAGGCAACCTTCCCTCTTGGAAGGAAGTGATCGTCACGCCAATCTACAAAACTGGTGACCGACTATCGCCCGACAGCTACAGGCCTAGCACCCTCACTAGCGTACCGTGCAAGATTGTGGAACGCATTCTGAAGCGGGTCATCTTAAATCACCTCATTACCAGCAACTTGATATCCCTAGTCCAAAAGGTATTCCTCCCAAACCATTCTCTTGTGACGAACATGCTCGTATCTATGGACAGCTTAACCCAAGCTAAGGGCGAAGGACTGATATCGGATGCCATGTTTTTCGACTTCTCAAAGGCATTCGATCGAGTTCCTCATATGCCGCTGCCCGAGGCTTATGGGATTCAAGGTGAAAATCTACGCTGGATTAAGACGTTCCTATCAGGCAGAATATTCCGAGTGAGAGTAGGCTTGAAATACTCTTCTCCGGCGCCGGTCTCCATTGGAGTTCTTCATGGCTCTGTTTTGGGACCACTTCTGTTTCTGATCTACTTCAACAACCTTCCAGACGTGCTTTCAAATCCATGTCCACTTTTTGCGGACGACTGTACATTTTGTAGTTCCAACGCCAGCGCCCTCCAAATCGATGTGGACGCTGCACAGCAGTGGTTGTAGGACTGGCACCTTCCCCTGACTGACGAAAAGTGCGTCCGTATGTCGTTCGTGGTGCGTGGTGATAATGAACTAGAAGACATTACAAGGGTAGATACCAAAAGAGATTTGGGTATCTGGCTCTCTTCAAACATGTCCTTCTCACAGCACCATGAAAAATTAGCTGAAAGGCATTCGCCGTTCTAGGAATGATTCGGCGCACCTTCCTCCGCATTACTCGCATGGACTTCCGGATACTCTATGGGCCCACGTCGGACCGCTTCTTGAATATGCTAACCAATTTGTCCACTCAGGACTCAACCCTCATTGGACGTGTCCAACGGCTTGCCACGAAAATGGCTGGCGGTCTTAAATTCGTGAACTATGAAACTCGTTTAGCAGTGTTTGACTTCCTTGCCCTGGGGATGGTCGCTTCTGAGGAGTCCTAAAACTTACTTATGCCCCGTTCGAACAAGGTTTGGTCAACAGGTTTTTCGCTGTTCGCCCAACAAATACGTGGTGGGGACATGGAAGAAGATTTTCAGACTCAGCTCATACTTTTACTAAGCAACAACGCAACCGAATTGCATCAACCGTGTTGATGGCGCCAGTATCCCGTATATCTAGCTTGGAGTTACTGCACACTTCAGTAGGCATAGTAGCTAGATGTTTAACACGGATTTCAACAATGACGCATCGCTGCCAGCACAACAAATGGGAACACATCCTAATCAACGTACACACAATCACACGTACACGCGCACGGAGCTGACACAACCGCACATAATAGTCACATCTGACCTCCAACTGATCACGGGAACACACCAATCAGATGACAGGGTAATGTGCCGTATTTGACACGTATTGAATGAAACTGTTTGTAGAAGTCCTTGGGAAAGGTTGCACACGGCAAACGAAACGTCGGATTACACTATCTTACTCCACTACGCTGTGTTTTAACCACAAAACTTCCATTCTGCAGAGAGGAGCTCGCCCATACATAGACCCGACAAAAGGACGCAGATAAGGACCGCGACCGCTACGTTCAGGATAAGGTCGCCCGGCCGATGAACATTCGTCACAGTATGTGTCAACGGCAGACCAGTTACCCTCTAACTTGATACAGGTTCTGACCTCAGTCTGACTTCAAAACGAACCTGGGACGTAATTGGGAGGCCACCAGTGGAGCACAGAAGGCGCCGTTCGTAATACATTTAGTGGAAGCCTCAAGCTGACCTGGCAGTCGAACTACTCCGTAGCGTTCACTAGGATTCAACTCAATAGTGCTTGCCACCTCACGAACTACGCAGGCCTTGATGTATTGAGTCTGGGTTGGTTTAAAGCGCTTCAACTCTTGGATTAACGCCTTGTTGACGTTTGTAACAAAACAACTTAAGGTATGAAGCAGATTAGGAAACGCTTGGGTGATGTTCATCCTGCTCGGCTTCCATGATATGGACCTCGTGATCCCCACTTCGTCTGTTTGGACACGCTGCAAGATATGGCTGCCGACTGATGTCAGTGACGAGCTTGTCAGTTTCTACCCAGATTGCCTGAATGATTGTCTGGAGGTGTGGGTACCTCGGAATGGTTGTAATAAGTTAGCGGTACGTTGCTACCTTACCCGCCTTTATTCTTTTCTTCACAATAAGGCTTTCAAATAAATGTTGGTTGTACGGCAGCATCGGTGTTAAACACTGATGTCACGCTTCCAATGACGGTGATGGTACTGTAGCGCCCTTTCGGTGCCTAGCTGCCAACTGGTGGAAGGATGCACGAGGGCTGGAATACTGCCATGTGGCTTAATTCTAGACAGGAGTAGTTCATATTTTGAGGCTAGTTTCGAAACAGCTCCTTAACCACTGAGCTATGTGGAGCTCTGAAAGGACTCGAACATTTTCGGTAGTAGGGGGGGCGTACAGTTACGCAACACCTCAGGAGGAATGCCATATGAACCGGACTGCTTACATGTGTTCAGTGCACTGGCCGTAATCCCTCTTGATATTGTATAGCGCGGGAAATCGAGTCGAAGTGTAGGCTAATCTTTTGCAGCATTGAATGTGGAAGGTGAGAATTGGACTAGAGAGCTGAACAAATGTCTCCGCTTTTTCAAGCAGAGTTGTTTTGGAACTTTCGGAATCCAAGGCAACAAAAAAGGACAAAATGGAACTAACTGCTTTGATCGAACTTCAAAGTGTTTGACCACCGTTTGCCGCCGACAATGATTGGAAAGCCCTCCCAGTGATTCTTTTAAGCTTTATCGACCGCATACACTTAGGGGGTTCATGGGGCAATGTAGTACATCGTACGACGTTCTTCATCCCATACCCAATTGGGCTTGATTAAACCATCCTGATGGGATTGCCTCCCCGGCTTGAAGAATGGAATAAATTAGCGCACATAAGCAGAGAGTGTACTTCTGAGTTTTTCAGCGGGAACTATGAGATCCACTGCTTGCCGAGAATAAGCGGAAACCAGTCACCTAAACATGTGGCGGAGCAAGACGGATAACAAAGATCTAAAGGATTGGGTGGACGTAACCGGATGATTTTTAGACGAAAACTTGATCCAAAGTCTGATTACCACCGTCGCCGCTGTCGTCAGGAATTCGGGTTGGGGATGAGACAAACTTAGTGCGGGTGTTGGTGACTAAAAAAAGCATCCACCCTTATGACCTGTGGCTTCCTGTTGGAAGAAAACAGGAGCCGATTCTTGTTGGCTAGTTTAAAGTCACGGGAATTGCAAACTGCCGTTTCGTCCAGCTGAAGTGTCTTTCAGCAGTTGATGTTTATTGAAGGGAGAGGAGAGGACACATTGTAGCTATTTATTCATCTTTCCATAGTCGGAATTTGAGTTCAGGTCAACAGAATTAGATATCAGGAGCACGAAATTCGAAGGCAGAGATTGGCGAGTTTGAATAAGAAAAGTAGGTTCAGGCACATATTCCGACCTCACAACAAGAGCCGTGGAATAGTATTTAGTTTGGAAATCGAAGGTAACCAAAGTCACATGCGCAGTAGTATCATAATTTTCCTTCACTCATTTGCAGCAAATGCTTCTGCTGTTTGCGTCATTTTTTGCATTTATTATCATCCCATTTTTTCTTCCTTGATCTAACTTATACAGTCAGTTGGTGATAGTCGGAACCACAACATAGGGTCCAAAGCCGGGCCGAGGATCTAAGTCGGGGTCACAGGATGTCCCCTCACCTATTCATACCCAACCAACAGCACACCTCACTCTCTTCCGGCTCTTGTGACAGTTGATCGATGAAACTTCCTAATCCGGTGGTCTGCTCTGCGGCAGTGGGCTGCTTGATTTGCCTTTATGCTTTGCACGTTGAATTCGCTCATGAAGCGGACCCGAACTATCGTGCTCTGTGTGACATTTCTGAGACAATGAGCTGTTCTAAGGTGCTCACTTCACCGTGAGTTATCCGCTTCTCGATCATGATGATGAGCTTTATCACTAGATATTCCAAAGCGTTTGGAATCCGAAACCTACCAATGAGTAACTGGCTAAAACAAAGGAATCCTGTTTATGGGCTCGCATTCTATCTAATACTGATGCTTTTGGGTAGGTTGCATCAATTCGGATTGACTTATTTTGCAGAACTCAGTTCCAGTCGGTTCGCTCTTCATCTGGCATTTGTTCTGACTTGTCTTTCTTGCATAACTTCATGCTATCTGGGCTATTTGCTCATTTACGTGCTGCATGATCTTTGTCTCGTTTGTATCGCATCCTATATTGTCAATACCGTCCTATGGGTAATCTACCTGACTCGCTATTGTCCCTCTCACTCAGTTGATGTACCGAAAAAGATCCTTTGAAATATACCTACAGAATATATTCTTTGAACTCTTCTCTAATAACGAGTGTATCAGATGCCAGTTTGGTCATTTGTATCTTTATTTCAGCCCAGACATCATGTTGTGGCACTTGACTGCAGCGTTCCTTTACTTGGAAATGTTCAGTGTGTTTCTTCTCATCATACCCTTGTTCTCTTCGCGCAGGTAAGCTCTTAGTCACGTGCTCCGGCGTAATTCCGCCGTTTGTTCATTTAGTTGGGCTAAGTTTTTCAAAACCGGATGGGTCCAGAAGTTGGCTGCGTTCTCCACCTACTATTTCAATTTCTTTCTCGTACTTTTGGGACTCGTTTTGTTGGGTGAGTTTTCTTGTTTTTTTCTCATTACGAAGCAAAATCACACGCTATTCGATTGATGCTACATTGTAAATATTTTGCTTGTGCTCGTCAAGTGATCAGTTTATTTGTCTAAGCCTTTTCGGTTGCCCTCTAGACAACAATGAACGCCTGTCAGAATGTCTTCGTTTTGTTCGTTCTTCGATCTGCCCAAAGACCACAACTGATGTGGCGGATATAGGAGCTTTGATTCCGAGGGATAATCTATAATAATAATTATTAATATAATAGTAAGAAATATAATCTAGTCTCAAAATGCGCCACACTTGCATGTCGAGCTTTCGCCAGATGCCTCTGTAAAACGCCAGATTTTTCCGCACTCTAAAACCAAAATTGATGTTTGTTAAATTCATCTGAAGTCTGTCTTTATACTGTGGTTTTGGTCTTCCTCCGCCTCGCAGACCATTCTTCAATTGACAACGGTTTAGGAATGCGACCCGATGCTATGCGTTTCACGTGATTTTACTCGCGTAGCTGGTTGTGACTCGATTTTCTATAGCTTTGAGTGTCTTTGAGTACTTGAACAGCTTGAATATCCAGCTCCAGTCCGAATAATGTTTCTATGTAATGTTCCGCAGATGAAACTCATCCAGGTGTCAGATATAACGTCGATATGACGTCCATGTCTCGCTACCGTATGATGGTTTAGGCGGAAGGGTAGAACGGCACATTGTGATTTTCATGTCCACTGGAAAGCGGTGATTTCCCCAGACATATTTTGAATTCTTCTATTTGTTTTCGATATCTGAGTTGAAACTTTCGTCGATCGTCTGGTCGGTTGTCAGCGTGTTGCGGAGGTAGCAGAAATGCGTTCGACACACCATTTCATTCACTTTTGCTACATTTCGATTCTCTCCAAGAACGGGTTGATAGGAAGCAGCTCAGACAGAATACCTAGGACGCGAATGTTGTCGTGGGCCGATGCCACTCTCTTTCAGAATCTGCAAGCCGAGTTCAGCCAAAAATAACACCGACTTTCGTGTCATGTGGCGTTCATCCGGCTAGGAAATGCTTTAATCTGAACAGCTGACCATCCAGACGGTACTGGACAGCCACGGCAGCTGAATAAAGCTGATGCCATAGCGCAGGCTTGTTCCACCACCGTGTCACTTTTGAATTGTACGGATGTATTTCCACAAGCGGTGACATTAGCCCTCATCCAAGAATTGACAAGGTTGACAAATTCGTTTGGGTAGTTCATCTTCCAAATGCTCTTCTGTTTACCGGATCAAAAGCCATTGTGATGTCAACGAGCAATGCGTTTAAAGTACAATAATATAATATCATATATACTGTTAGATGGGGGCGAGACGACTCAATGGTTAGAGCGCGGACTTACTGGTTGGAAGGTCCGTGGTTCGAACCCGGCTTCTGCTTCTCGACTTCTTCTGCTTTGGCTTGGGCAACATGGCAGGATCCCAGCCCCCGTGCCTACTTCCAGTGGCATGGCAGCTACGCACCGAAAGGGTGTTACAACTGAATGATTATAAAACATTTGGTTCCACTGTTCCACCAGGGTGGCCTTATCCAAAGCGCCCATGTTTATTCGATTCGCCGGATTACGGCCATAACCACGGAGTGGGATGATTCCACAGTGCTTTTCTGCCTTCGGCTGGTTTGCTTTCTCTTTGTATAAGATCACTTTGGTGACATCCTTGTAGTCTTGTGCTACATCGTCCCGTGTTCTACACGTAAGATGGAGAAATTCACATTACACCAAATTTCAGCAGCCCAGTGCGTTATCTATCGTTTTGGTAGACCTTTCCGTTTTGTATTTGCGAACTCACTTCTTGTATTTCGTTCAACTTTGGACAATCATCCAAATCGTTCTCAGTATGTCACGGTGTTATTCATTTGATCCCATTCGGCTGTTGACGAGTTATTGGGCAGTGTGGAGGAGTGGGTCAGCGTGACGCACACCTTCGCTCGTACCGAAGAATGACTCGTGTTGAATTGAGCAGCGTGCATCCTTTTGGTAAGGAGGATTCGTTTGGAGTCTGATTTCTAGGTATTTACATGGTCTGTGTCCATTCTTCGGGTGGGCCGCTGAAGTCTATTCTACGGGAAAAAGATGTTGGTGGCCTTCGTTCACTAATCCAATTACAAAAAGCTCTAATATCCATTTCCAAGTTTCGGAGACCTGATCAACTCGATCACTGAAATCCCTAATTTGATGTTAGAATAAAATATAGCAACTATTTTCGAGCGACGTTTGACATCTAAGTGAAAACCAGTATCTTTCTTCCAAATGGGTTGCTGTGGGTCCACATGTCTTCCGTCACGAAGAGATTGGACCTTACTGTGGTGTGGCGGTTAGTGTACCTCGGGGACCCGCTGTGCTATACTGGGGGGTGTCCGCGCGACACTCACAGAGTCTCTCATACCAGGTTGGTCCATGGGTAGAGTTCTGACGAACACAGTCTCCCGGTCCTCCAGGTTGGGAGTTGGAACATGTATGGCGAGGTGTTCCGTAAAAATGGTAATGTATTTGCATTTCCACCCCAACACCGCTGCCTTGCGGTTACGCTTTTGAGCCAAAGGCTTTGGTTGAGGACCCTAATCGTCCTCCTGTCTAGGTGTGGGCGCCCTGGCAGTATCCCAGCCCTCGTACAACACGGCAGTGAAGCGTCAGTGCCAACACTGATGTTGCTGTCTTTGATGATGATGATGTCTTCACAAACGCAGTAGAACGCCCTCCACCCTGAGACTTCCATTCGAAGTGTCCATTCTTGGATTGATGCAGCTTGGTTCACCGGTTATAATTTCATGTAAATCTGTGTTTCCGTCAACTGTGCCTGGAAGAAGATGCATCCATCTCCAACTTCGAAGTGTTTTTCTTGTTATGTGAGCTTGTCTTGATCAGCCTCGACAATAAGTACTCTCCATCTTATCCAGTAGAGTTCTGTTGTTCATGGCTTAGGTGGTGCTCCCCTGTAAACAAGATGCCTTTGTGTTTATTCATGGTTTCGAAGGTTGGTTCGTTTCCAGTTGGCCTAACCGCGCCATAATGCAATTGCTTATACCATGATGTGGCAAGATCTGGCCACTGGTTTATTTCTGTCGGAATCAATCTGAGGCCAAACTGTAGGATGCTTCATTTTTCCAAACGACACAGATCTGCCTGGTCCAACCGTGTCTGTGTGAAAGCCAAAATGCCATTTTCCATTTGTGCTTCTTGAAATGCCGCACTATTGCTGGAAGTTCTTTGTCTTTCTTATCTTGTTACAGAGGCCCTTCGTCAGGTGATGAACCAGCGAAGTGCCTATGAAACTCTTAAGTCACATCCTAGCGAACTCCGACCGGAGACAGAATCGCTCTATCTGATGCGCATGTTTCGAGCACAACGCAATTTGTACATTGCCGGCTTTGCACTGTTTATGTGGTTGTAAGTATCGTCGTTTTCCTCAGTCATTGTTTTTTATTCTTGCAGTTAATCTGGGCTAGGCACAACTATTTCCGCGTATTAATTTTTCCCCGTAAAGTGTGATTTTTGAATCTCTTCATTGGTTCGTTTAGACTTTTCTTATCCCTCACATCCCTTAATCTTTTGTCGCATGGATTCACATAACCAGGCGGCATCCTATTGATTCTTAGGGTTCTGCATTCGTGTTTCCGTGGCTTGGGCTTCGTTTTTAAACTTGCTACCATCACTTTCGCTTGATGCTCGGTGTGATTTTCGAATCTCTTCATTGGTTCGTTTAGGCTTTTCTTATCTCTCACATCCCTTAATCTTTTGTCTCATGGATTAACATAACCAGGCGGCATCCTATTGATTTTTAGGGTTCTGAATTCGTGTTTGCGCGGCTTGGGCTTCGTTTTTACACTTGCTACCATCACTTTCGCTTGATGCTCGTAGCAACCCTTGTCTGACTGTGTGCTTCCAGGGTCAAGCGTATTTCGGACTAGCCACACCATAATATATCCTGTATGGAAAATAATGGCCTTCTTGAGGTTTCACATCTTTTCTCCCGTTTTTTTTCCAGCGTGTTCCGCCGCCTGATTCGCCTCATCTCCGAACATGCACAAATGTCTGCAAGTCAAGAGGCCTCACTCAAACAAGCCAAAAATGCCAGCGCAGTGGCTGAACAGATGCTGAGCTCGAAGGGTAATGGGGAAGTGAGTTATATGGGTTACATTAGAGGGGTCACAAGAGGGCGCGGCTAAGTAGAACTTTCTAACTCACCTACAAAATCGGCTACTCTTGTGCTTGGTTGATAGTTTAGGCCACTTAAAAGGATGTCTGGGTTGGAATTACTTCAGTCTGTTATTGTTTTATTGGGGTCCATTGACATTCAGTTATTTCCTATTGCTGAGTGTGGAGGCGGGATGGCCCAAGTGGTTAGAGCGCGCAATTACTGACCGGAAGGTCCGTGGTTCGAATGCAACCTCTGCCTCTCGAATTCCTCTGTCTAGGCTTGGGCGACCTGACAGCATCCCAACCCCCGTGCCTCCTTCTTGTGGCATGGCAGTTAGGCACCGAAAGGGTGCTACAGCTGAATGATTTATTTGTTTATTTACTGTTGAGTGTGCCTCTCTCCGTAGTCAATGTTGACCCCATAACTTGAAATGAACTACACGATATTTTCAAGGCCCAGTTATCACTGCTTGCAGTTGTGTACTGCCATTGAATGTCGGCGCCTAAACCCTAATCTGATGACATATATAGTTCGTTTCCAACGCTGTAGTCAAAAGTTGTTCACTTTCGATGATCTGGCCTCGTTTGGTACCCTGGGTTTTAACACGGCGCCTGGTGTGAAGTAGTACACTGTGTTCTTCCTGGCTGTAGACCACGAAGAAGAGCACTCCCTTTTGGGCCTCCCCCCACATTGTTTGGGGCAGCCAAGGGGACGACCGAATACACTCGGTGGTTAGCGCTAGTCTAGGATGTGCCTACTGAGTGGTGCGAGCAACCAAATGCCCGTTAGCATGCACTGTGGAGCTCAAACGTTCCTTCGTACCTATTTGAGGAGGCGATTTTGGGCTACAGTTGCGTTTGCTGATGGTCACTCCCCGATCCGATTCTCTGCGCATTACATCGGCATGAGGTGGACTCAGCGCAAACCAAATGGGGGGCATCACTTAATGTGCGCGCGTATCCATCCGGTTAGTTCGATGTGACGGGCCAATCCGGAAACGGGTACCAGCTCACCCTGCTAGTCATCGTGTTGATTCTGGGCTACATTACATCCCAGAACGATTACATTTGATCAAATAAGTTCGATTATCCAACATGGACCATTATAACCTTTTGTAATTTGTAAATAAGTAATAATGTTGGAACCCACCCAGCCGCTCACTGATGATGTCTCATGATAAGTGACGAAACGTTTGCGAAGTTCGATGATCAGGTCAACAGCGACCTGATCTACAACATATTGACCAAAGAGTTTTCCAGCAAAAAACGACTGTTCCAGTGATTGAAAATTCAATAGGTAAGACTGGTCATTGGAGTACCTGTAGGTTGTATGTTCTATAATTATTTCACCGTTTACGGTTCACAGGGCCCGCAATGTAATCACTCCAGTATGATTTCACAGCAGTTTGGACCACTGAGATCTGGAGTACAGAGTGAGCAAGCAAACAGAATGCACCTTCCGCACCGAATTTGTGCGCATTTTTGGCAAATAAACTCCAAATGTAAAGCGAGTTCACTGTGTTAGACATGTCTTGATCAAGCTTCTTCCCATAACTGGCTTTAGTTACGGTCGTGTGAATGTCATGTGGATATCCTCTGTTTACGGCTGGCTCTGTTTAGACTGACTGAAGCCTACCTAGAAATCAGTCCGGCGAGGTCTGTTGTCTCCTTGCTGGATCGTCGGTGAGGTTTGGATTAGGTAGGGTATCAGGACGGTTTCCGATCTGCCATTAGAACATCCAATACAGTCTGTCTCCATCGAGCAGCTTAGGTTCAACCTACGTCGTTATGCGCCATTTTAGCTGACACCAATCACGTTTTGTTAGGACTGAATCGATCTCTTTCATATCGTCGGATGAACTTTCTGCGCCGGAAACGATCGTAATTTTATTATTTAGAAAGAAAGAAAGCGTTCAACTGTAGCATCCTTCCGGCGCCTAGTTGCCATGCCACCCGAAGGAAGCACCAGGGCTGGGATACTGCCAGGTTGCCCAAACCTATACAGGGGAGGTGGGATTCGAACCACGGACCTTACGGTCAGTACACTCGCGCTCTAACCACTCGGGCCATCTCGCCCACCACGGTTGTGTAATTTGACAATTACTGGGGGCGAGATGGACCAAGTGGTTAGAGCGCTAATTTACTGAACGGAAGGTCCGTGGTTCGAACCCGACCGCTGCCTCTCGACTTTCTCTGTCTAGGCTTGGACGACCTGGTAGTATCCCAGCTCTCGTGCCTTCTTCGTGTGGCATGGTAGCTAGGCACCGAAAGGGGTGCTACACTGAAAGATTTCTATGTCTTTACTGGACATTTGTTTCCTATTTATTCATCTCCGTTCTCGCCTATTTTTTGAAAATTTGACGGAGAAATTATTGAAAACACTTCCATCAAACCACAACCCCCATCATCATCATCAAAGTTTAAAACCATAGACTATTTCAGTAGTCCCTCGATTATTCTCTTAATTCAACCGTTTCACGTTCTTCACTGTTCCTGGTCGACACGTGACTTTTTTGTATGTTTCGTTTGCTCTAACTATTCCACCTTTGTAGTCTGAAATCGTCAAGCGTTTAAAGGCTGAGCTCGAAGATCTGAAGCAAAAACTACAAGAGGAAGAGGAATGTAAGTTTTATCAAAATTCCTAGTCTCTTTTCGCACAACAGTGGGATTATTTTTCCAAGGACCGTTTAGGTATTGTGTTGTATTTCTCGCTAGCAGCTTTTACACTGTGCGCACTGGATTGTTTCGGTCACTTCCACTCGTACCGAAACTGCAGTTTGCGTTATCCAACGTACACTCTCTGAAATTTAACAATAAGCCTGACAAGTACAATTTGAACGCTTCCGACATTTTCTTGTTGCCACGTGCGAGTTGGAACACAGTTATATCCACCACCTATATATGTTCCTCTTTTTGTTGAATACACCTACATTATTGATAGTGTGAGAAGATTTGGGAATTTCAGTCGATATTTCGTCTCGTAAATTAACCCAATCTACGCGGAAAACCAGTTGAGCACTGTACAGCTGCTCCCTGTTCATTTGAAATCGTCTGTAGCGCTCATCTCACGAAATCCCAGCTATTTGAAATCGTCTGTAGGGCTCATCTCACGAAATCCCAGAGAGTCTCGAACGCGCCACCTTGAACTCTCAGCCGCCTGGCCACGAGTGGCCGGTCAGCAACGTGAGTAACTCTCACTGAGACGAGTTATACCGACACTCATTCTTTAATCACCGAAATCACATCACGTGGTCATGTGACTCATGACTGGCTTCTCGAGTGGATTCTAATGGCGCTTCACACCGATCTGTCATTTTGAGGACATGACACTTCCTCATTTAAGGAAGCATAATCCTTCAGTCATGGAAATCACATCGCGTGTATTGAATGCCTGTCCAAGCGCGAGTTGATCACGCTGCTTCTCAGCCACTCGTGACCAAACCGCTAAGATTTCAGACTACTAACCGGAAGGTGGCATGTTCGAGATTTCGCGAGATGCGCGTGGAAGGTGGCATGTTCGAGACTCTGAAATTTCGTGAGATGCGCGTTTCTGACGATTCCCAATAAACCTGTTTCCAGTCAATGTTTTCCGTGGACATGCAATGTAGTGAGGATCGAGGTGTTTGACTCTAAGGTCGGCGAGCATTAAAATGGTGACGTTGAAAGCTTGTGGACGGGCAAACATGCGCTGAACGTATACTATATCGGTGCGTTCTGCAGCTTACGTGAACTGCAGTTTATTCTGACACCACGGTCTTTGGGGGAAATGAGAATGATCGTCTGATCAGTTCTGAACTTCTTTTACGCAGTCGGCAGTTTCCGACAGGGGCGAAGGCTAGTCAACTGAGCTTTCTACTTCGACAGCAGTTGAGATCCTTTGTAACACAATTAACGGATCCAACTTTCATTGATACACACTTATCGTATTGGCGTGGTGAACAGGTTACCTTGGGAGGCCGACATTGAACTTGCAGTCACAAGATTGCTGAAGAGCTTTATAAAAATTCGATTTTCCATTATGACCTGTTTGTATAAAGGGTAAAGCAGATAGTTCATAGTCCTCAGATTGCTTTCTGCATGGTTCTTAGTTTTCTGCCGTAGAACCTGGTGACATTCTGTGCTATAGCAGTCGTTTCTTTCTAGGAATTTCTATGTATGGGTACATAAATGGTCGTCTATCTGAAGACCAGAAAACAAATAGCCCTACTAAGGATTCCATCGGGAATTACGCTTTAAAGTCTGCCTCCAAGGCGCCTGTCACCTGTCCTGCGTAAGTTTATAAGCATTCATTGAGTTAACGGCGTTTGGACCCGGATCAACCGCCATGCAAGAATCACAGCGTGGTTCACGTGATGTGTGTCTCTAAAGCGAGGTATTCCAAAGGGTTGCAACAAAGAATCATCAAGGGAAGTTGGACATGGTTGGAGTCCCGGAGATTCGTATCCCGTTAGCTTATCGGTCTCGTTTCTCAAACATCCAGTTCGATTTGTGATGCTCGTGATATCAACTTGCATGCAAGGCGTGTTTGTCATTGTGGAAAAAAACATCCGCTTGCATTTTCACATGCTGCTGTCCGTCTGTGGATTGCAGTCCTTAAGTACGTGTGTGTAAACAACCACTGGTGACCAGAGGATGGTATCCACACACACACACACACACACACACACACACACACACACTCGGTGTTTCAGTTTGTGCACTTCTGTCAGCGTCGGTTTATCAGGTGCTACTTGATTTCGGTAGGCTTGGGTGCAACTTTTATTATTCCTGTCTGTCTTATCATTTTGAAATGTAGTCCGTGATGGCTGACCATATTGTGCAGTTGCGTCGATAACACGTCTGGCACTCAAATAAGCAGATAATGTACCCAACAGGTACCAATCCGGTTCAAGAATTCACGGACTGAGCCTACCTGATGAGCTTTCCATGGGCAGACCTAGTGAAAGGAAGAAGGCCTTCGTTGCGAAGTTGTTTATTAGAAAATGCCAACTGACCGGTTACAGACTATTGGACAGGGAAGCAAAACTCTAATGTGTATCTTATTCACAAAAACTCTTCTCTTGAACGCGTCTTCCTGAACTTTCCTGCCTGG